CTTGTTTTCCCGGATGAAAAAAGTCCTCAAAGGGAAATGTTTTGCCAACGTGGAGGAGGTGAAACAAAAAACGGCAGAAGCACTAAACGGCATCAAAATTGACAAGTTCAAAACCTGTTTTGAGCAGTGGAAAAAATGTCTCGATAGCTATATTGCATCAAACGAAGAGTACTTTGAAGGTGACTGAAGTTTGAACATGTAAAAATAAATACACAATTTTTAATAAATAAATTCCAGGGTTGTTTGGGTCCCCTCTCGTATATATGAGAGACTTACATACGTAACACAATAATATCAAAACAGGACATCTAATAAAAACTCATGTTGGCAGTTTTCCATTGTTTAATGGTCTTCAGTTTAGGAACTTATGTTACCTAATCTTTACAGTAATAGTCAAAGCTTAGTTTGAAATTGTTAATTTCTGCAATAGTAATTCAAGGGGTATATTTGTATACTGTTTAGTGTATTATAATCACACTTCTGAACAGCCTCTTTACACAAGGTTTGGGAAGTTAGAATTAGAAGGGGCTTTTGAGGAAGTTTAGGAAGTAATCTGTACTCTTTAATCTTCAGTATATAGAATCACCTATTGAAAGGGGCCATTGGAACCACTGAATTCAGTCCCCTGCTCAGTACAGGAATCTGAGTTAAGATACACTGAACAGATGATTATTCTGGATAATTGATTTTTCTATTAAACTGCTCATCATTAGGAAGTTCTCAAAATTCCATCAAAATGTTTATTCTTGTAATTTTAAGATCATTATTCTATCTTATATATCTCGTAGTCTGGGTTCCTGACTATATCCTGTAGTCTGGGATGACTGAAAACTGATCTTGATTTTCTTCTATGTAGCATCCCTTCAGATACTTGAAAAATGTTGTCATATCTCCACCTCAGTTGTCTTTTCTCAGGGCTAAGCATCCTATTTCCCTCAGTCTCTTCTCAAAAGACTAGTTTCCAGTCCCCTGATCATATCCATTGCTCTTCTTTCTGTCTCTTACAGTTTCTGTGAATCTTTTTTTTAAATATGATGCCTAGACATCACACTCAAGGTATGCTTGACCTGTGACCAGTGGATTTGCTAAGAACATTCAGCACATATCACTGTCAAATGTGTATTTGTACATGTATTTAGGACTTGTCAAATGATATAGAAAAACACAAATGATTGCAGCTATAAAAGCAAGTGGGCAGTTTTGTCTTCAGCTAGACATAACAACTGATGTGAGTGATAATGCATAATTCATAGCATACATATACTATCTAGGATTAGCAATATGAAAGAAGAATGTTTGTTTTGCCGACACTGACTGCTGTAATGGGAGAAGATATTTCTTATAGACCTCTTGATTCTTGAATACTAAGTAGATACTGAAACTTGCTGATCTTTCAGATATATTTGCAGAACTCAGTAAGTTGAATGCTTCAGGGCAAGGTTATAATCACGTGCTAGCCAGAGTAATAGAAAAGTGACAACTTACAAAGGAAAGCTGAAATTATGAGAGGAAAATTGAAAAAAAACCAAGATTGCTTTTTTCCTCATATTAAACTTGCTTCTGGAAGATGAAAGTATTGAATTGTCTGACAAAAAAATGTTACTGTTGAACATTTGAACAAATTAAATTTTGACTTCAACCTCTATAACCTGGAAGATATGACTAAGCACAGCTAGGAGTGTAACCCATTTAACATTATCACTGAAAATTATGATAATAACATTTGAAGCATTGCTGGCCTTCAAGAGAAATCCACTGATGAGGTATTGTGTGGCAATTCTTAAAAAATAAACATAATCACTAAGCACATTCTGGATCAAAGCAGAAAAGATAAAACCAACCCTGGGAAATCAGGTTTTTAAAATTTTATTCCTCTTTTCTGCAATATATTTGTGTGAAGCAGAATTTACTGCATTTCCAATCAGAAATGTCAATCTTTAAAGCTAGGTCATAGCTTAAGATGCAGCATTTCGAATACACTATCATGGTTTGAAGAATTTTAAAAGCTTGTATGAAGTCAAGGATAGCATTTCATGGCTTGACTACTGCATTGCACTTTACGTGGGGCTGCCCTTGAAAACCACCCAGAAGCTTCAACTGCTCCAGAATGCAGCAGCGTGGGCAGTGATGGGCATACCTCAGGATGCCCATGTAACACCTCTGCTTTGCAGACTGCAGTGGTAGTCAAGTTTGCTTCTGGATGTGATTCAAAGTGCTCGTCATTATCTTTAAAGCACTACATGGCACAGAGCTTGGTTACTTGACTCTTTCTCCTTAATACCTGTAGAGAGTAAAGAGGGTGATGACCTTGACAGAGAGAGGGAAGATCAGTTACCAAGGCAATAAGTAGATAAACATTGCTTAAGGTAAATGACAAGGAAGGTTTATGAAATGTCTAGACAGGCACCCCCCTAATTCACATGAATATAAAAGTGAGAGAAGAAGAAGCTCATTCAGACTTCCAAGATTCTGTTAGTATAGCCAATCTTAATAAAAGTTTTAAGGTGGTCCTTGAGTTATGACGGTAATTGGGACTGGAATTTCCATCACTAAGCAATGTGGTTGTAAAGTACAATGTCACATGACTGCATGACTTAGTGATGGCAGTCCCCATTGTCACTGTTAACCAAATCCCACTGGTGTTCAGCAAGGACCCACCCCAATCCAAGCCTTTCCCTCCCAGCCCCAAGCCTCAGTAAGGTAAGGGACTGTCTCCTCTGCCTCCTCTTCAACTCCCCCCACCTGCCTATCTCCTCCCTATCTGTGGCAGTGGCACTGAGGCTAAATTAAAGGCCTGAAGCCTTCAGCAATTTCAGCCAGTCACCACTGCCCCAGCCCTCTACTTCAGCCCTAGCACTGCCACCAAGGAGTGCTGCCTTAAGCCCCACACCACAGCCATCTGCCACAGTGCAAAGCCCCAGCTGCCCCGACCACCCTGTACTCTGCAGGCCCTGCCGCAGCCAGCTGACCATTGCCTCCTCCCGCTGCTGATGAGGCGTGCCCAGCCTGACCCTATGCGAGGCAGTTGCTGGCTATGACAGGATTTTTTTCCGAGACCACCTCCGCCATTCTCCAAATAGTGCATGCTGTTCTCCAAATAGAAGAAGCTTTCCAAAGGCTTTCCAAAGCATCACAAGAATAGTGCTAAGACTGCCCTGGGCCTCTACTTCAGCCCCAGCACCACTGCCACCACTTAGTGCCACTGTGCAGGGCAGCCAAAAGGACAGAAATGGGGGGGGGGATAGGCGGTTGGAGGGAGTTGAAGCACCCCTGCAGTCATAAGTGCGGGCGGGCTACCAAGTGCCCGAATTTTTATCATGTGACCACAGGGGTGGTCCAACAGCCATAACTTCAGGGACTATGCTTAAGTACCATTCGTTCTGCACCACCATAACTTCAAACAGTTGCTGAATGAATGGTCATTAAGTGAGAAATATATGTATGTGGCATCTGTTTCTTGATCTGGTGTACCTCGCAGGGCTTGACAGCATCTGCCTGGCTGATTTGGTCTGGCATGGTTGGTGCACGCCGGGTTCCTTTGATTAACCAATGTCATCTATTGGGACCCTGGAAGCACACCTTCTCTGCCTTCTGGAATGAGGTTCCCCCAAGATCTGAGCGGCCCCCACCTTACTGGTGTTTTGAAAGGCCTTTGCCCAGGGCTTTGGTGAGCACAAGTGAAGCCCCTTTGGATTATATGGATCTGTTTCTTTTTATTCCCATCCAGTGTCGTCATCTTGCCATCTTTACTCTTGTCTCTTATTATTTTTCTTGTTTTTTAATGTCTTATTTGTAAACTGCCTAGAGTCATTGGGAGTCAGATGGCATATAAATTTAATAAAGTAGTAGTAAAGTAATAAAGTAATAGTAATAGTATTTAATAATACTAATGTCAAGGATCAAATTAATATAATAATGAAGTAAAGGATTGCAATATATAACTATAGCTGTTTTAATTTTGTGCTGTTGTTCAAATATTTCTAAAACTCAGATAAAATAACTATCACACTTCATGATTATATATACAAGTACCTAACTTTCTTCCTGTCCCCTCACCCACAAGCCTTGCTATGGTGCCTCATTGTCAGTCATTATCAGCTAACTTCCTGATCATTAGTTATGTTTTAGAAACTATATTGTTTCTAATTTTGTAGATAGTAAAAAGCAGTATTAATACAAAGAGAAACATGGTCACAGAGCTCACCCTCAGATGAAATCCAAGTCCTCACCAAAGAGAGTAAGAACTCCTGCCTTAAGTGCTTTTGTGGCTGATGAAGATAGATCTTCTGTGGTGAAAATTATTTCTAAACTTGAATTCCTTTTGCCATTGATTACTAGTGCAAATAGCCTGCCTGGATCTGTGAGAATGTGTCTAAAGGCTCTGCTTTAATATCCTGACTTCCTTGCCG